GCACAAGGATGCATGGGCTGGTGGGCAGAACCAGGAAGTGGGAGGGAGGAGTAGCACTTTCCTTCTAGCTTCCACAGGTGCAGTGAGACAGGGATCAGCACCAGACGCTGCTAGCAGATGCAGATGAAGGCCTTGCAGCTGGGGTCATGAGGCTCCAGAGTTTAACTGACTCACTGAGAGTCTCAGAGACTCTAATGAGTGCAGTAGAGCTGCTAGCAAGAGTAGTGCTGCCCTGTGAATTTTGAGTTTTTCACAATGCGTGGAGTGCACTCCTGCCACATAGAGGCAGGGGGCCAGATGGCTAAATTGTCTTGCACTGAGTGTGACAATCCTACAAAATATCCTGCATCCCATCCAATTTTTTAATTCATGTAGGCAAAAACTGTTCATAATTATCTCACTTAAGCTGATTCCCTGTTGTAGATAAACATAATTTTTAAATGTAGTTTAAAAACACAGTTTGTTTCCACGGAACCCAACTACCAAATCAGCTAAAAGATGACTGTACTTTGTTTTATTTGTTCATTTTTGCGGTTGAACCCAGGGTGTCGTGCATGCTAGACAAGAGTTCTGCCACTAAGCTACATACCCATCACTTTTCATTTTTATTTTGAGACGGGATCTTGCTAAGTTACCCAAACTGAACTTCCTGCCTTAGCCTCCCAAGTATCTGGGATTACACGCATGTGTTTCTCGGACAGAAGCAGCTTGGCTTTTCCCTTTTCCCTACTTTTGTAGGGTAAGTGTGACCAGCTGGCAGCTGTCGTGTCCTTTTCCTGGCTCCCCAAGGCCTCATCAAGGATGACTACGGCTACCAGCGCAGGCCTTTCCGCCCACTCTGGGGTACTTCATCCTCCACTCTATCGGCTGGAGCTGCAGCTTAGCTGACAGCCCTAATACCCTCCCCTACGCCAGACACTATTGCTGCCCTTGGGGAGCAGGTGGACAACCAAGCCTAAGATCAGGACCCATTGCTGATAAACTCAAAAGCCACAAACTCCAATGGGCCATTCTCAACATGTTCAGACCTCCCCGAGACTCCTGCAAAGCAACAACAGCCTCATCCTTTTCTCTTTTCTTTTTCTTTCCTTTCCTTTTTTCTCTTTTGTTTTCTTTCTTTGTTTTTCTATCTTTGCTTCTTCCTTTCTTTTTTCTTTCATTCCTTCTTTCTTTTCATTTTTTGAGACAGAGACTTGCTGGGTACCCCAGGCTGGCCTTGAACTCACTGCAGTCCTCCTGCCTCAGCTTCCCAAGTGCTGGGATTATAGGTGTGTGCCACCACACCTGGTGAGCCTCATAGTTTTCAAAAAAAGGAGAGAGCTGTCAATTGAATTCCACGGAATTGGAAATTCCATGTTTCCATGACAACTGCAGCTGTCCTAGATGCCATATGCCACACTGGGAGATATTCGCAGCAGCAGTCTTGAAACACGGACTCATCTCAGAGGACTCTGTCCTGCAGCAACTCCAGATGACTTCCCATATTCCAGATGGCCCAGCTGCTTCTGTCCTTACTTGGAAGGTCCTCACATAGGTCCTCTGTGTAAGCAGTGCACCCTCACACTCTTTGGGTCAGTTAGGGAGGGCTCCCTCTTGTGCTCTACCCTCTCAGGCTGCAGCACTGAGCCCAATAAAACCTCACTCAGATGGCCCTACTGACTACTCACGGTTCTTAGGGCAGAGTGGGCTGAGGACATCGCACTAAAAAGAACTGGCAACACCAGGGGCTACTAGTCCTGAAGACTCCAAAGGTGGCCAGTGGTAACCAGCAGTAATGACCGACAGAGAATTGTGGCCATATGGAAGTTGCTGAAAGAGTTCCAGAAACCTACCAAGGGCAGTGAGCATGGTGGTGCACATCTGTAATCCCAGCATTTGGGAGACTGAGGCAGAAGAATTGCTGTGAGTTTGAGGCCAGCCAGGGCTACATAGTGAGTTCAAAGGCAACCTAGACTACATAGCAAGACCCTATCTCAAGAAACCAAAACTAAAACAAAACAGAAAACTTCCAAGGGACTATATCCCTTGGATGCTAAGGAGCTAATATGGTGACTACAAGCCACTAAGGCCTGTAACACTAAAAGCTATAACACTAAGAGCCATAGTAAGGGCTGAAAGCCACTATTGCTCAAAGCCTGGAAACGCTAACATCAGGGGAACAGCACTTTTCCTAGTCATGATTTCTGTTTAAGTTGAGCAAAAGAACCCTCATTTGTTTAGCAATGCCATCACACCCAGCTATACTTCGTTTTGTTATACTTATGTTACTGGAATAGCACTGCAGCTGCCTGTCAACTGAAGGGCAATATTTAAGAGATAGAGAGTTGGTAAGAGGGAATCAGCTTTATTTGAAGGTCAACACCCCATAAGGTGAGACAAGCTATTGTCTTCAAAGCTCCATCTTGGGAAGCTTTGGGGATACAAAGGGCTTTTAAAGGGGGAAAGGAAGAGCAGGGCAGGAAGGCTGTGCACTGAGAGGGATCTTCACCACCCAGAGCATGTGTCTTTTTTTTTTCCCTGCTCCAAGACATGCCAAAAGACTTCAGCTTCCTGTAGTTCTTTTTAGACAGATATATTACTTTTTTGCAAGTTAAAACTCACATCGGTTTACATACTTGGTGTTAGCAGATGCGTGGAACTAAAGACTGAGGAGGGGTGCTACAAAGGTCATTTGATGACCTGGGCTCTGTAAATCTCAACAAGCCTTTAGCAGTTAACACTTAACTATTTGAGTGGCGCTTCTCTAGAATCCTGGGGAAGCAGAGGGGGCCTGTATGCTTTAGGGAGGGCAAACAGCCTTGAAGTTTAAAAGGAGTAACTGTGAAGAATGACTCCAAAGCAGAGGCTCTCTGACACCGAGTGGAAAATGATGTGAGGGGTTCAAGTTATCAGTACAACCACTTTTGTTTTAGTGCTTTTCCTCCTATTACTTGCCCAAGCTCCCTTTGCAGAGTCAGTTTCTCCCTCATTCTTCATGTTTACCTTTTCAAATAAACCATGTCACTACTTCTTGCTCATTTCATTCAAAACAAAAATTTCAAAAGTGCTGGTGATAGGTACTACTAAGAGTTTACCTAAAAGCCTTTCTGATTGTAGGACAAGATAGTGACTTATGAAGCTTTTATATTTTTTGAATTTTATTTTCACTACTTATTCAATAGTGGCCAGTTTGTAATGTTTATATAATTATTCATTGTGCCTTAAATTTTTATACTTTTTTGTTTATGCAAGTGATAATACTTCTCATAAATGCAAATAAATAAATAAATAAATCAAAAGGGCTGATGATATAGTTCATTGGTAAAATGTTTGCCTATAGCATATTTGAGGCCCTGGGTTCAATTCCCAGTACACACACACACAAAAAAAAAAAAAAGAAGCAAAACTCTCTCCCTTAAACAGCTTCTTCCTCTGTAAAACAGAAAAAGTACTGTTACTTTTCCAAATATGTGGTGTACTTAGCCACATGAGATCATGTAAATATTTTTCAAATTATAAGCGCTATCAATGTAGCCTAGGAATAATCTTGCTTTTTGGATTACAGTGAGTACTTGCCAATACTTGCAAGCCACCCAGTTTAAATTTAGGCTTTAAATTGTTTGCGTAAGCCGGATGTGGTGGCTGGTGGCACACAGCTGTAGTCCCAATGCTCAGAAAGCAGAGGCATGATGATAGTAGTGAGTTTGAGGTCAGCCTGGGTGATACAGTGGTTTTAAGGACAACCTGAACTACATAACAAGACCCTGTCTCAAAAGAAAAATTGTTTGCCTAAAAGCCTTAAATAGGCAGTACTTGACAAAAGAAGATATCCATGCCAAATAGCTGATAAACTCATGAAAAAGTGCCTTAGTCATGAGGCAATGTAAATTAAAACTACAAAGTAATACCACTACCCACCTACCAAGATGACTAAATGAAAAATAACACTGATTGTTGTCAAGAGCATGAAACAATGAAAGCTCTCATACATTTCTGGTGGGAATGTAAATTAGCAAACCACTTTGGAAAGCTGGCAGTATCAATTAAAGCAACCCTATGACCCAGCAGTTCTATTCCTAGTCATAAAGCCAACAGAAATGTGTACAGTTATTTCCTAAACAGAACAGTGTTCAAAGAAGCACTCTTATAATAGCCCCAAACTGGAAAGTCTCCAATGTCCACCAACAATGGATAAATTGTGGTATATTTCAATATTGACATACTATCACATGGAAAAGAAAGACATGTAACAATACAGATTAATTTTACAATGTTCAGTGCATCCTATACATGAGTACATTATTGTTTAAGTCCTATATGAAACTCGAAAGCAGTCTTTGTTTTCTGTTGCTTGAGACTGAATTATCTATTAAAAATATAAATTCAAGACCTGAGGAGGTAGAGCTGGCTGGTGGTAGAGCGCTTGCCTGGTGTGTGTGAGGGCCTGGGTTTGATCTTAGCATTGCTAATAAAAAGTAAAGAAATAAAAAAGTGTATTCAGCGCATAATCCTGCAGGCCGAGGAGTCCCGCAACATGGTACTGGCACCTGCTCAAAATCAGATAAAGGACTTCTCGCAGTGACATGGGGGACAGTGTGCCATGGTAAGGCAGAACACATAACAAGCTCATGTCTCTTCTCTTCTTATAAAACCACTAATGCTGTCATAATTTCATCTAAGCCTAATTGAAGGGAATCTAAACAGAGCCAGGCCTCAAGATGGAAACTGATAGCTGGGCCTGCCAACCTCCCTGAATGAACAGCAGCTTGAGATTGTATTGCGATTAGCACCATCTGGTCTAGTGGGCCCAGATAGGCATCAGACACATAGGTGCGCGCCCAGAACACTTAGACCTGTGCTCTCCTGCCTTCCCAGGAATTTCCTTTGTTCTCAGTAAGGTTAGAAGTTAGAGATAAGCTGAAGTTAATGATGCTCCCCGCATACTCTTGCTATGTGACCCATTTCCTTATTGGATCAGCGTTAGCTAAGAAACTATACTTGTAATCCTATAGGTTACTTACAGTTTGACCCACGTTGTGATTTTGCTGTGTTAAATACACTTGGGAGCCAGGCATGGGGGATCACACCTGTAATCCCAGCACTCGGGAGGCTGAGGCAGGAGGGTCCTTATGAGTTTGAGACTAGCCTGGGCTACAAAGTGAGCCCAAGGCCAGCCTGAACTGCATAGCAATATCCTGTTTCAAAAAGACAAAAAATAAATAAATACACTTGGACAAAAAGCCTCATTCGGTCCCCCACTTTCAAGATTCCTCCTGTTCCTCAGATACTTTCTCTCAATAAGCCTTTCCTACTCTTAATCTCTGTGGTCCTTGAAATTCATTGTTTGACAGCAAGAGACATGACCTTGGCACATTTAACATCTAGCAAGTTGGGAATTAGTTTTCCCTGCTACACTATGAATATTTAGGTTTGGGAATTAAATTTTCAACACATGAATTTTGGAGGGGTACATAAAAACCATAGCAGGGCTGGGCAGGGTGACATATACCCATAATCCCAGCCCTTGGGAGGCTGAGGCAGAAAGATTACTTACTCTGAGACGACCCTGGACCAAATAGTAAATTCAAGGCCAATTTGAACCGTGCTCCAAAAAGAAAAAAACAGAAACAAAAAACCCAGCAGGGGGCTGAGGATATAGCTCATCGGCACCAGCACCTGCCTGGCAAGTGCAAAGCTGTGAGTTTGGTCCCTGATATCAAAAACAAAAATAAAAACAAAAAACAAAACAAACCACGGCTGGTATTTAAAGTCAGAATAGAGATTACTTTACGACTGAAGTATAAGTGGGAGGGGATGCTGGCGATGTTTTGTTTCTTTCTTTCTTCTTTTACTTGAAAAGTTACAATGTTTTTATTTTTATTCATGCATGTTTGTAATACATAGTAATTGCATTCAGCTTGGGGATTTGATCCAGATACATCTCATTTCTTGATAAATGTGATTTTCCCTATCCCCCTGCTTTCCCCCCTGTCTTTGCAAAGATCTCATTCTAATTTATACCGAGACTTCCCTCATTTCTTTTTTGGTAAATTAATTAGATTTACTGCTACGTTTTAAATATACAAAACGATAACATTCATCAGAAGGAATGTGTACCTATGCATGATATACCTTGATTCTTTTTTCCCCAGTCCCCTCCTCTCCCTTTTGCCCTTCTTCCCTTCCTTATTTACAAAAGCTTTGTTTCCATTTTTTCCTCCTGGATTCCTGTTCCATTTGAGTATTTTCTTCCTATGTCCCAGTATCTTTTACACATATTGATCTTTAATTACACTTTTGGTTTCTTATACCAGAGAAACAATGCAATATTCACATGTGTGTGATTGTTTCACTTAAGAGTATGATTTCAAGGTGCATTTTTTTTTCTTAGTCTTTTTGAGACAGGGTCTCACTATGTAGTCCAGGCTCGCCATGATCTGGCTACCTCTGCCTCTCCAGGCTGGGATTACAGGCACGTGGCATCATGTTTGCCTGATGTGGATGCTGGTAATGCCTGTGTGCTTGCTTTGCGAAAACTATTTGAACTGTGCACTTAAGATTTGTACATTTTTCTGTTTTTATTATAATTCAATTAAATTTTTAAATTTGCTGGGCATGGCAGTGCACATCTGTAATCCCAGCACCGGGAGGCTGAAGCAGGAGGATTGCTGTAAATTTGAGGCCAGACTGGGCTACAAAGTGAGCCTGAACCTCATAGTGAAACCCTGCCTCAAAAAGCCAAAATAAACAAATAAACAAAAGTTGAAAAAACAAAAAATAAATGCTTACCAAGCTTGTGTCACTTTGGCTTGACGCTTTGTTTTGTCTTCTTGTGACCAAACAGAAAGGTCTATTTGTGGCTACAGAGCAGAACAAAGTTAAGAGGGTCAGCAAGGGTCGAAGCCATGACCTCAGCTCCAAGGCTCTGGAACCTAAGAACAAGGCTGGGCGGGACGGACGCTTCATGCAAAAGGCTAGGAGGACTCCCATAGATGGCTACTTTCAGCGTTCTCTTTCTGGAACAGGAAGGCGTGGTGTGAAGGGAGTGAGAACGGATTACAGGAGTTGTGCTTTGCGAGACAGAAAGGGAAGCGAAAAGTAGAAAGAGACCCAACCGACTGTGCGTGTCCCCCGGTGACGACTTGCCCTGGACGGTCCGCTTCGGGTCCCGGAGGAGCTCGGCTCTAGACGGCTGTTTCCGCCAGGGGGCGCTGCTCACCGCTGACAGGCGGCGCTCCTTCTTCTGGCGCCAGGGGGCGGCGCGTCCGCGCAGAGCCGGGCCACAACCCGGAACTGGGAGGAATCGGAGTCCTGGGGACCCGGTGGTAGGATGCTCTTCCTTCCCCTCGTACCCCAGGCTAAGCTGTAGGGGAACTGTGGAGCGGGAGGGCCGGCAGGCATTCTGCAGACATCTGTCGTCCTTGGCGGATGGAAGTCTGGGGTATGCAGGTGCATTGCTCTGGGAGCTCCTAACCCCGCACAACTGAAGTTCTGCTTCGTGTGTTTAAGGGCCCTAGAGTTTTGAAGAGGTGCTTCAGCGATTCCACAAAATTTTATCTGACTTACTTAAAAGAAAGAAAAATGTTAGGATTCGCGATTTTTTTTTTGGTCTTTTTTGAGACGGGGTCTCGCTATGCAGGTCAGGCTGGCCTTGTGGCCGAGGCTGATCTCGAACTCGCAACGATCCCCCCACGTCAGCCTCCCGAGTGCTGGGATTACAGGCCTGAGCCACCATGCCTGGCTAGGATTTGCAATTCTTATGATGTGAATCAGGATTTTTAAAAACAGTGTATCCACTTGCCTTCCGTTATCACTTTTAATATTATGAACATCACTTTGAAATGACTGACTTGAATGTTTTAAAAAATATGAGTATGCTTTGTTGGGATTTCATGTAAACTTTCATTTGACTAACGATTCCTCTGAATGTAATGCACTTGTTCATCATTAAACAATACGGGGAAGCACTTTAGAAGAAAGAGTAACCGCAAGTGAGAAGAAACCAAAGCTGTTTACTTAGAGCTCTCTAGAGCCAACATGTTGGCCCCTGTCCTTTGTGCTCTGCAGACTCCAAAGGGGTGAGAATGCTTGGTGGTGGGGTAAGGGAAGACTCAGGTGTACAGGGATCAGAGGCTGTTGGTACAGGAGGCTGGAGGCAGAGATGGACATACCATGTGACTGTTTTGGAGGGTGTATGTTTTTCTCTGCTTGCTTCTAAGTTAGCAGTGGAGGCAAAAGTTAGAGAAGTAGGCATGGTGATTGCTACAGAAGCTGTGGCTTGGTTTGCTGGGGGGTTGGGTACTGAGGCTTCAGGTCAGAGTTCTAGGTCATAGATGGTCTGGCCTTTGTCAGTCTGTGTTTTCTGTGTCTCACATTCTGGGTATTGTCCCATTAAGCCCTGTCATAACCCCATGAGACTGGTACTATCCCAGCTGTATGAGTGAGAAATGGAGTGGCAGAGAAGAAAAGCAACTTCCTCGAACAGTTATGCAGAGGTAAAGTTAGGACTCGAGTCTGAGGAGAATGACCTCAGAGACCAGGGTATTCCACTAAAGTGCTGGATTTCTATCTCTGCTTTGCTGGAGAAAAAAATGTAGAAATTGACAAACTGTCTAAAATTCATATGAAAATGCAAAATAATTTTGAAAGTGAGTAACAGAATCTTAACACTACTTGATTTCAAGACTTTCTATAAAATAGTCATTAAAGCTGGCTGGGCAGCTCCAGTGTGCAGCCAGGCTGAGAACCGATGTTCCAGGTGAAGAAGCCCTATGAGCGCGAAAGCAGTTCCTGACACTTGAAATTCCTCTCCATACCTTGCCACAAACCTTCCCCTGACCGAATTGTGTTAGGCTGTGTTATGTTTGCTATGCTGTGTTGTTTTGTTATAGTGTACCACGGATTATGAAGTTTACTTTAAAAATTATCTCATCTGGCTTTAGTTACATCACTCATTCAATGTAAATTACCTAAAAGCTTTGTTTTTGTTTTTAAATGTTTCTGTGTAATATATGAATAATTGTTACAAATCAAGAAAAGAAAATAGCCCTATGGCCAAATGGATGAAGATAGGGACCAATTTTTTTTTTTTCCAAGGATCCGTACTGGGAAGGGACCAATTTTTTGCTTAAACTCCTTTGTAATTGTGAACATGAAAAGTAAAAAGAAAAACATGATTTAAAAAAAGAAAAATGTGCATTATCATACAAATAAAATTACAACAAAATGCTGTTTTTCACTCTCCAGATGGTAAAATTGTGAAGTCCAAGATGTGGGAAGCAACAGAAATTTTTTTATGTATAGTTTTTTTTGGTTTTGTTTTTGTTTTGCATTTTTGTTTGTTTGTTTGTTTGTTTGGGGCAGAATCTTGCTGTGTAGTTCAAGCTGGCCTTAGACTCATGGTAATCCTCCTGCCTCAGCCTCCTGAATGCTGGGACTGTAGGTATAGACCGCTACACCCAGGCATATAATTTTGTATATAAGATTGTATATGAGTTTTTGTTTGTTTGTTTTGTTTTTGTCTTTTGAATCAGGGTCTCCCTTTGCAGTTCAGGCTGACCTTCAGCTGTATTCCAGGCTGGTTTCGAATTTGCAAGGATCCTCCTGCCTCAGCCTCCCAAATGCTGGGATTACAGGCATAGGCTCATGACTTGTTCTATGAGAAAAATTAAAATAATGATAAACAATCAATTCAGGATAGAAGTCACTTCAAGAGGGGTGGAACCAAAGGAGGGACACAAGAGCAGACTTCCCAGCGCTGTACAGGGGTAAAAGTTGATTACCAGGTTTTTATATTATTTTGTATGCTTTGCATATGATCTATTATATACACACATATGACTTTTACATCGCATATGAAATATTCCACAATATTAAAATTAGGCTATAAAGTGAAAAAGTAGTCTTTAAGATGAACTGCTACTGACATCAAGATAGATCTGTGGAACTGAATAGAAAGCATGCAAGCACACACACCCCCACTTGATTTTTAAAAAATGATCCAATGACAATTAGAAAGACTACAGAAACCAGGTGTGAAGGTGCAGGTCTGTAATCCCAGCACTCAGGAGTTTGAGGAAGGAGGGATTGCCGTGAGTCTGAGGTCAGCCTACACTAAATAGTTCAAGGCCAGCCTGAAGCCTGAATTACATAGCAGGACCCTGCCTCCAAAAACAAAGAACAAAAAAAGTACATAGTTTCTCATAAACTAGCTTCAATAAATGGGGCTAGACAGTTAAATAATCACATGAGAAAAAATAAACTTCAACCCATATTTCACACCATATTAAAAAATTAAGTCAAAATTGACTATGCATCTACAATATGGAATCTAAAACTATAAAATCTTTAGAGGAAAAACATGCAAGAAAAATCTCTGTGGCTTTGAGTTAGAAAAGGTTTCTAAGACATGACACTAAAAATACAACTAATTAAAAATATTTAGTAAGTTGGACTTCATCAAAATTAAAAATTTTTTTCTTAAAAAGACAATGAGGATGAAAACAAGAACCATAGACTAGGAGAAAATATTTCCAAAACACATATCTGATAAAGCACTTGTGTCCTTTTTTATTTTTTATTTTGAGACAGGGTCTCACTAAGTTTCAAGTTGCGATCCTTCTGTCTCAGCATCTAAAAGATAATACACAACCAGCAAAAAACTAGAGGTTTCCTAACCTACAAAATGAGCCTCACAATACTACTTATCTTATAGAGCTAGTGTGACAATTAAAAATGAGTTAATCGGGGCTGGGTTTTTAGCTCAGTGATATAGCACTTGCCTAACACTCAGGAAGCCCTGGGTTCTATCCCCAGTACTAAACACACACACACACACACACACACACACACACACACACACACACACTCTTAGATCTGTTTCTGGTACTAGGTATGGAGAGGAAGTATTTGCTGTTATTTATTTTCAGAGCAAGAATGATGATTTGCCAAAAATTAGACAAACAGCTATTTCTGGGGACAAAAGAGCTTTCAGGTTGTTCAGGAAATGGCTTCATCAGGTATTTCCTCTTTGTAGTAGGACCTCCTGCTGCTGCCCTTTGGCCCTGCTCTTGCTACAATTGCGGTTGCTGATTTCCCTTTGTCAAAAGTGTATTTCTTGGTGGTGCATGCCTATAATCCTAGCACTCGGGAGGCTGAGGCAGGAGGATCATTGTGAATTTGAGACCAGCCTGGGTTACAAAGTGAGCTCAAGGCCAGCCTCAATTGCATAGTGAGACCTTGTCTCAAAAAGACAACAACAACAACAACAACAAAAAAGTAGCCCCTGTATTGAAAGTTTGGCCAACTTGTTAAGGGGAGATACAAAAGTAGCCAGGGGCAAGATTAAAAACACCAACTATGTTCTGAGCCTTTGAGAGTCGGTTATGTGAAGAAATGCGGTACAGTGAATGCTCCAGGAGTGAATGCTCAGCCATTGTTTGGTCGGAAATTTGGTAACTCTCTTCTCCCCAAATTATTAGCACTGTGAGGTTAGAGGACCTTAGGCTGTTTATCATAGTGGGGGCCGCAAGAACTTTAAAAGAGAATAACATTGTCATTTTTCATATTAGGGTTAGTTTGGTAATAACAAAAAGTATTTAAAACCCTTACAAGTCAAAGTATATTGCTCAGGTCATACATGGTGGCCTACACAAAAAGGGTACAAGTAATACAAAATTTAAAAAATAAACAGTAAGAAATCACTAGTTAATAGATTACATATTCTCGTCTTAGAAATAGTTGTTCAAGTTACAAAACTGAGGCATATAAAGTGGACTTTCTTTTTTTTTTTTTGTCTTTTTCATTTTTACCGGTATCAGGGATCGAACTCAGGACCGCCTGCTTACAAGGCAGGTGCTTATGCCGCTGAGCTAAATCCCCAGCCCCATAAAGTGGACTTTCAAACAGTGAGAGTGTAAACAGTCTTGTTCAATGATCCAAAAAACACTCAGTAATATGGTTATCTATCTTATACACTTAAACATATATGCAGTTATAACCTTTAGAGCACTTTTTTTCTTTTCTTTTGTACAATGACAATTACACATTTTGGGTTTTATTACTCCCACAGTTCTTATTTCTTTTTTTGAAGAGAGTAAAACCAAATGCAACATATCAAAACAGAGTCAGTCAAATCAAAAGGATGGACATAATAGATAATGTAAAAACAAAATAT